CGTTCTATACACACACTTGGGGGGACACGTTGCTCCTGATAGGCTCGGCCAAGCGGTGGTAGGGCCTTACTTTCCCGCGCGTTCTATACACACACTTGGGGGGACACGTTGCTCCTGATAGGCTCGGCCAAGCGGTGGTAGGGCCTTACTTTCCCGGCGACGGCTCGGAAGCTGCCCGGAGGGCAAAATGGCAAAATGGCGCCACAGAGGCTGAAATGGTGGCTCGGGATTTTGTTCACCGGAGGGCAAAATCGAAATGGCCCCTGGAATGAAAGAAAGAGGCTCGGACGGCGGCTCGCGCCGGGGGGCCAGAGCTGAAATTGGGCCTCGAAAGAAAGAAAGGAAGAAAGAGGCTCGGTTGGAGGAGGCTCGGAAAGGGCAAAATGGCAAAATGCAAAATGGCAAAATGGCGCCTCAGAGGCTCAAATGGTGGCACGGCACTTTCTTTACTGGAGGGGCAAAATCGAAATGGCGCCTTGAAATTATTTAAGAAAGAAAGTGGCTCGTAGGGCGGGTCGAACGGCGGCGCGAATTCTGCCGGGGGGCATAATTGGAACTTGTTCTTGCGCCGAAAAAAAGAAAGAGGCTCGGGCGGATGTTTGGAATTTAGTGGAGGGGCAAAATCGAAATTTCTCCTCGGGAGAAAGCTGCTGGATGGCGGGTCGGAATTTTAGCCCCGCCGGGCGAAATCGCGCGGCGGTCGGGAGAAAGGAGAGGCCGGCGGGAGCCGTGTCTGTCGGCGGCGGGGGCGGGGGCGATTCTGGGCCCGGCGGCACGCTGCTGTGGCGGGAAAATTTTAGGCGCGGAGCAAGATCGCGCGCCTCGGATAGGCTTGGTTGGAGGGGTCCTGTCAACCGCCGCCGCGATTCCGCGGGACACTGCCCCGCCGGGAACCGTCCAAAGCAACCCAACCCCAGATTGATTGTTTTTTTTTTCGCTTCCGAGCGCCGTCGGACCCCTTGCCTCGATGGACAAGGAATTGGGATGAGCGAGGGCCTTTTTGATATGATCGAGGGCCTTTTTGACTTGATGTTCTTATCGGGCTCGTGAGCATACTGTGCTCTGTCATCGCAGAGGCCGGCTTCGTCGTCGGAGTAGCGGCTTCGGGGACGCGACGGACAGAAGAGCCGGCGGCGATCAGCGCGGCAAGCGGCGGACTTTGGCCGTGAGGAGGAGGAGGAGGCGAAGCGGGCGGGGGTGAGTGGGACAGGGAGGGCGAAGGGAGCGGCAGGAAGGGGAGGGTCGGAGGTAAGTGTGCGGGGTTGAGCGGAAGCGATGGCGGACGCTGCAGCGAGCTCCGCACTGGGCAACGGTGTAGCGATGGAAGATCCGGAGAAGAAGAAGAAGAAAGAGGAGAAGGCTAGAGAGAAGGAGGCGAAGAAGGCCAAGGCTGCGGCGAAAGCCGAGGCCGCCGCTGCTGCTCAGGCGGCGAAGAGCGCAGCGGGTCAGCCCGGGTTGAAGAAGCAGGAGGCCAAGGCGAAGAAGTCCCAGGCGGTGGTCGCTGCCTCCGACACGGCTTCGACTGCCGCTGCTGCTGCTGGTGGGGATGTGCAGGACCCACTCACCCCGCATGGGGAGAAGAAGAGGATGGCTGCCACCATGGCCAAGGCGTACAACCCGCGAGCGGTGGAGGCGGCGTGGTACTCGTGGTGGGAGTTCTCCGGCTTCTTCACGCCCGAGGTAAACAGCAGCAAACCGATGTTCTCGATCGTCGTGCCCCCTCCCAACATCACCGGATACCTCCATCTCGGTCACGCGTTGACTGCCACCGTCCAAGATGCCATCGTCCGATGGAAGAGGATGAGCGGGTTCAACGTGCTGTGGGTGCCGGGTACCGACCATGCCGGGATCGCGACGCAGACCGTGGTGGAGAAGAAGATCATGAGAGAGAAAGGTCTGACGCGGCACGACCTGGGGCGCGAGGCGTTCCTGAAGGAGGTCTGGGAATGGCGCCATGCTTATGGCAACAAGATCGGCGAGCAACAACGAAGAATGGGGGCATCTCTGGACTGGACCAGAGCGGTATTCACGATGGACGAGAAGAGATCGGAGGCGGTGACGGAGGCATTTGTGCGGATGCACGGAAGGGGGCTAATCTATCGGGACCAGAGGCTGGTGAACTGGGACTGCGTCCTGCGGACAGCCATCTCCGACATCGAGGTGGATTACATCCAGATCGACAAGAGAACGATGCTGCGCGTGCCGGGCTATGGCGACGAGCTTGTGGAGTTCGGTGCCATCACCTCGTTCGCCTACCCGCTTGCAGACGGCGAGGAGGGAGGCGAGATCGTGGTCGCGACGACGAGGCCGGAGACGATGCTCGGCGATACCGCGGTAGCCGTGCATCCGCGGGATGAACGTTACATGCATCTTCATGGAAAGTTCGCCGTGCATCCGTTCAACGGGCGGAGGATCCCGATCATCTGCGACGCGGAGCTCGTCGATATGGCCTTCGGAACGGGCGCGGTGAAGATCACCCCGGCGCACGATCCCAACGACTTCGAGACGGGGAAGAGGCACAATCTCGAGTTCGTGAACATTCTGACCGATGATGGGTTCATCAACGGAAACGGCGGGGAATTCGCGGGACTGAAGAGATTCGAGGCGCGCGTCGTCGTGGTGAAGCGCCTGCAGGAGATGGGTCTGTACAGGGGCGTCGCCGACAATCCCATGAGATTGGGGCTGTGCTCGCGGAGCAAGGACGTCATCGAGCCGATGATCAAGCCGCAGTGGTATGTGAAGTGCGACCGCATGGCGGCGGAGGCGTGCGACGCTGTGCGAGATGGACGGCTGACGATTATTCCCAAGCAGTTTGAGGATGTGTGGTTCCGATGGCTGGAAAACATCCGGGACTGGTGCATTTCACGCCAACTGTGGTGGGGGCATCGAATCCCGGCGTGGTACGTCGTCAGGGAGAGCGACAAGGAGAAGGCGGTGGGCACGTACAACGATCAGTGGGTGGTCGCGCGGACTGCGGAAGAAGCGGAGGCGCAGGCGCGGCGGAGGTACCCCGCGGAGGAGTTGCGACTGGAGCAAGATCCCGACGTGCTTGACACGTGGTTCTCGTCCGGTCTGTTTCCGTTCTCGGTCTTCGAGTGGCCCGCGCAGACGGCCGACCTGGACAACTTCTACCCGACCTCGTTGCTCGAGACGGGCCACGATATCCTCTTCTTCTGGGTGGCGAGGATGGTGATGATGGGCATGACGCTGACGGGCAAGGTACCCTTCAGCCACGTGTTCCTGCACGCCATGGTCAGGGACGCGCACGGGCGCAAGATGAGCAAGTCTCTGGGCAACGTGATCGATCCCTTGGAGGTGATAGAGGGTATCAGTCTGGAAGAACTGCACAAGAAGCTGGAGGCGGGCAATCTCGATCCGAAGGAGATCGCGAAGGCGAAAGCCGGGCAGAAGTCCGACTACCCCGACGGCATTGCGGAGTGCGGGACCGATGCCCTGCGCTTCTGTCTGCTGGCATACACCACGCAAGCGAACAACATCAACTTGGATATCCAGCGGGTGGTAGGCTACCGGCTGTGGTGCAACAAGCTGTGGAACGCCATCAAGTTCGCCATAATGACGCTGGGGGAGGACTTCACTCCTCCTCCTTCGTCCTCGGACCCAGCCGCCGCCGCCGCCGCTCTTTCGGCCTCTGCAGTGCCGTCAAGCTGTCGGTGGATCCTGAGTGTGCTCAGCAAAGCCGTTCGCAGGACCGTGACCGCTATGGAGGCCTACGACTTGGCGGAAGCAACCACCGCAATATACCACTGGTGGCAGTATCAGCTCTGCGACGTGTTTATCGAGCTGTCGAAGCCTGCATTGAATTCAGCCGACGAATCGGCCGCTGAGGAGAAGAGAGCGACGAGAGAGACGCTGTGGACGTGCCTGGATACTGGCCTTCGTCTTCTGCATCCCTTCATGCCGTTCGTGACAGAGGAGCTCTGGCAGAGATTGCCTAGCGGCGGAGGATGTCAAGGGAAAGCAGCAGCTGGCAAAGGGGAGGAGGAGAAGGAGGAGGAGGGGAAGGACCTTCCCACTCCCTCTCCCTCCCGGCCGCCGTCGATTATGGTGTCTGAGTACCCGAGACCGGTTGAGGCTTGGGAGGATACGTCGGTGGAGGAGGATATGGTGCAGGCGGAGGATGCTGTCAGGGCAATAAGAAGCTTGAGGAACGGGTACGGATTGCAGAAGAACCAGAGGCCGGAGTGTTTTGTCCAGTGCAAGAGCGGGGAGGTGGCTGATCGCTTGGCGCGCTGCAGGCCTTTCATTCTCACCCTCGCCGCGCTGTCGAAGGTGGAGGTGCTGAAGGAAGGCCAGAGCCCTCCGCCGGGCTGCGCGGTGGCCATCGTCGACGAGGGGACCACGGTGCACTTGATGCTGCGTGGACTGGTGGACGCGGACTCGGAGATTTCGAAGCTCCAGAAGAAGACAGAGCTGCTGCTAAGGCAACAAGAGGACCTCAGGAAGAAGACGAGCATTCCAGGCTATGCGGAGAAGGTTCCCGCTGCAGTGCAGGAGGAGCACGCTGCCAAGGCGGCCAAGGTGGCGGCTGAGAGAGAGACCATCGACGAGGCAATCAGGAATTTCCAGAAGCTTCTGTTATCGACGTAAATTGGTGGATGGATGTGGGAAGAGGAGATAGAAGGGAGGGAGGGAGGGAGGGAGGTAGAGGGGCTACGGCGCCGTAGTTTCTCGAACATCAACAAGTCCCCACGTCATGTTTTGGCGGGAGGGTGTTTTGTTTGGTGCTTTCTTGTTTTTCGATCATTTTCTTTCCCGCGGCTTTTCGTTTTTCATTTTTAGCAGTTGGGCACTCTAGCCAATCACCAGTTGCGTTGTAAGGATACGCATAATGGAAAGAGAGAGGAGGGAGGAGAAGGAGGAGGAGGAGGAGGAGGAGGAGGAGGTGGTTGTCTGGAAGTACCGGAGGGAGGAGGAGGAGGTGGTTGTCTGGAAGTACCGGAGGGAGGASGAGGAGGAGGTGGTTGTCTGGAAGTCCCGGAGGGAGGAGGAGGTGGTTGTCTGGAAGTATCGGAGGGGGGAGGAGGAGGAGGAGGAGGAGGTGGTTGTCTGGAAGTACCGGAGGGAGGAGGAGGAGGAGGTGGAAGGGAGGAGGAGGAGGAGGTGGTGGTTGTCTGGAAGTATCGGAGGGAGGAGGAGGAGGAGGTGGTTGTCTGGAAGTACGTGAGGAGAGAGAGGACGGTTCGAGCAGTATGTTTCGGAGGAAATACTAATTGATAGGTTTAGGTTAGGGTACCGAATGATGTTGTGACGGCAGTCTCAGAGAGGGAAGAAGACAGGGGCGGAGGGAAGAAGACTAATAGGTGTCGAGGGCGTACTGGCGCTGTTGATAGGGTATACAGGAGGACGAGGAGCATTTTCTTTACTGAATCTGGTCGTAATTACGGGCGGAAACGTCAGCGGAAAGTCTTCGTGCTGTGGAAACTTATACCGTCCTAACGCCGGGCAGGGGCGGGCGACTCAACGCGACAATGCTGATTGATTTGGACCTCTGGACCTCCGATTGCCGCCTTGGGCGGTTCGGCGGCAAAGGCGCCCGAGGCTCTCCTCCGCGCCTGGGGGGCGTGCGCTTGTCGAAGGCTTTGCCGCGCATCGTCGTCTTGTAATATGATCGAAACCGGATTGATGAACGGATTGCGTACGCGGGATCACGGACATACTTCTTCTCGGTGGATGGAGGATTTCATTGGTGTATTCGATTGATTGATTTTGATTAATTCGTTAATTAATTGATGGTCAGGGCTCACGTGGGCAACAAAGAGGGAATGAGGACGGAGGAAGCGATGCCACATGTCAAGGAAAGGAGGGTTCCATCTGTAAGCGAAGTAAAGGTAAGGGTGCCACGTGTTAACCAAGGGTGCCTGCCAAGTGTTGACAGGGGTGCCCCTACGTGTTAACCAAGGGTGCCCCTACGTGTTAACCAAGGGTGCCCCTACGTGTTAACCAAGGGTGCCCCTACGTGTTAACCAAGGGTGCCCCCAAGTGTTAACCAAGGGTGCCCCCAAGTGTTAAAAGGAGTGCCCCCAAGGGTTAACCAAGGGTGCCCCCAAGGGTTAACCAAGGTTGCCGCCATGTGTTAACCAAGGGTGCCCCCAAGTGTTAACCAAAGGGTGCCCCCCACGTGTTAACCAAGGGTGCCGCCAAGTGTTAACGGAGAGTGTTACGTGTGTGTTAATTAAAGCGTACGGCGTGTTAACCTTTGATTGGATTTCTGAACGAGGAAGTTTTGGTCCATGAACGGCTTTTGAATTGAAGTAGTTTTGTTGTGCTTATTCTTTCAGCTTCCTTGCTTTCGTCTTCCCTCGAACACAACGCACCCTCATTTTGAGTGTGCGGGACCTAACGTACAGCTTGTGTGACATTGTGTGACATTCATGATCAGGGTGCGTTGTGTTCGAGGGTGTAAGACGGTAACGAGAAGGCGGTCGGTGGTTGATCGCTCACGCGTCAACAAAAAAAGGGGAGAGATTTTGATTGATTCGTTGATTTGATCGGTGCAGGAGGGGGATTTGATGGTCTGGGTTTCCATACGACGAACGGGCAGTACGCGGGACTTTCTGGCGTGTATTTGATTGATCCCCAGCTGGGCCAGATCATGTCGAAAACACACGTGTGAGTACTGACCTAATGCGATCAATGTATGGAGGAAGAAAAGAAGGTATAGATCGTTCCAAGAAGATGAACGATCTGTGTTATGACCGATGAATCGATGGCGGCTGCTGATTGATTGGACGTTTATTGCAATTGAGTGCGCGGCGACGAATGGTTGGACGTGAAGTGAAACACAAGGTAAGAGCCCGGTGGTTTTATCTGGGGCATGCTTTTATATACTGTCATAGAACAGGAACGTACTGATGCGCGGAAGCAGAAGAAAATGGTGATGAAGGAGGAGCAGAAAGAAAGACAAGAAGAAAGGGAGGAAGAAAGAAAAGAAAGGAAAAAAAGAATGAAGATCAAAGGAGAAAGAAGGAGAAGAGACCATGAAGAAGACGAAAAAGACGGGGACGACAACGAAGAAGAAGAGGAAGAAGAAGAAGAAGATGAAGAAGAAGAGGATGATGACGACGAAGAAGAAGACCAGGGTAAGACGAAGAAGAAGATACAGAAGCAATGACGAAAAGGACGGTTGATGTGCGCAGGCTTATAGAGTAGACAAGATCGCCGACAATGGACTGGATGATGAAGAAGAGGATGATGACGACGAAGAAGAAGACCAGGGTAAGACAGGAGACGGAAGCAATGACGAAAAGGACGGTTGATGTGCGCAGGCTTATAGAGTAGACAAGATCGCCGACAATGGACTGAACGGGTGTCTGATTGTGCAAGGGTTGTAGTCTTAGCTCGTTCAGTTTGTGCATGGTTGAAGCTGGTTGATTAGTTCGTGCTGGCCAGTCGTCAAATAAACGAACCGAGCTGATCAGTCACAGATAACCCCCGATGGACGATTATATTTTTCCTCGATGGATAGCTGTATGAATGGAAACGATAGCATGGTCGATTGATTGATTGATTGATTGGTTGATTGATAAAGTTTGTTGATTGGCTGGTTGATTGGTTAATTGATTGGTTGCTTGACCGGTTGATCGAGTGATTGATTGATCCGATGAATTGATTAAGTGATCGAATTCAGTGATCGAATTCAGTGATCGAATTCAGTGATCGGTTGATTGATCAAGTCGGTAGATTGGTTGGTTGATTAGTTGGTTGGTTGATTAGAGTGATTGGTTGATTGATTGGTTGATTGATTGGTTGATTGATTGGTTGATTGAGTGATTAAGTGATCGGGTTGGTTTTGATTGGTTGCTTGCTGGGTTGATTCAGTGCTTGATGGGTTGATTCAGTGCTTGATCGATCCGATGAATTGACTCAGTGATCGAATTTATTGATAAAGTCGGTCGATTGGTTGGTTGATTGGTTGGTTGATTGGTTGGCTGGTTGATTAGAGTGATTGGTTGATTGAGTGATTAAGTGATCGGGTTGGTTTTGGTTGCTTGCTGGGTTGATTCAGTGATTAATAGATCCGATAAATTGACTCAGTGATCGAATTTATTGATCAAGTCGGTAGATTGGTTGGTTGAATGGTTGGCTGGTTGATTAGAGTGATTGGTTGGTTGATTGGTTGCTTGAGTGATTAAGTGATTGGGTTGGTTTGATTGTTTGATTGGTTGGTTGATTCAGTGATTGATCGATCCGATGAATTGACTACGTGATCGAATTTATTGATCGGGTTATTGATAAAGTTTGTTTCATTAGTTGGTTGATTGGCTGTCTGATTTGCTAATTGATCGTTTACTTAATCAGGTGATTGGTTGATTGGTTGATTATAGATTGGTTATTCTGAAATAACTTAACCCCCCACTCCATCCGGACCTATTTTGACAAACCAAAAGTTGCATCTCCCCCGAGAGCCTAATTGATCGGTTACAATGACCCCCCACTCATGGGTCTGAAATAACGTAACCCACCCCCCCCCCCCCCCAATAATCAGACTTCTACACTGCCGGCGTGAGGAAAAGTAATCTTGGTATCGAGCCTGGGCACGGTAGATTTTGGCCCTGTACTTGTAGACAAGAAAAATGAACAGAAGGGTCCGTTGGAGTGGTGGTTTGATTGAATGGGGTGAATGAACGGTCAATGTGATCATCGATGCACAAGCAGATTTTGATTGATTCGAATTGGTAGATTGGTTGATGATCGCTTCATCGGATCAATTGATTGATGTAACTGATGAGCATACGACCATTTTTTTGGTCTCTAATTGGCTTGGCTAATCAATTAGGGCAAAAAATCTCACTACAGTCTTCCCCCGAACAGAAAGCAGCAGTCAAGGGAATGCATCTGACTGAGATTTTGGCCAGATTCAGCCGAAATGGTCCTCGAACAGTCTTTCCCCAAACAGAAAGCAAGTTCATCATCGCGGTATCTGGACTGCAAGTCAAAGTGAAAACAGCTATAACGACCATAAGTTCTTCTCGGGAACGGTGCGGATGTATATACCCCGTTCTTTATGCGAATTGAATCCGGCTGCCATAGCTGCCACATTCATCCAGAAATGTCTGAGAGCGAGTATTCCCGACTTGAATCTTGGCCCTATTTCCGCTCAGATACAGCCGGGAACACGCTGATGTGAATATATTCCTAGAGTCAACCCCTCTGGTTGCAGCAGGGGAAAACCGAGTTGTACCATGTACGGGAAAAAGAACAAGTGATGGTGAGTGATAGCAAGAAACTGAGACCGTGTGGCTCAGTGGTACACACATGTAACTGCTAGCTAGCAGGTTATGCATTTGAGTCTTCACTATGTTCCTGCCCAGCTCATACCTCAAAACTCAAGAAGAGAAAATGCCATTCAATTACAACTCAATTGAAATAAGGAGGAAACAATAAAGAAAGAAGAATGAAGGAAAGAAGAAGAAGAAGAATAGTGGTAAACAGTGGCTAACTGCCTTTCGTACATGCATCGAAATCTCTTCATTGCAAATCCGCGCATACTCATCTCAGCTTACGCTCACAGTCCCCGACGTGTTTCGATCGGTTGCGCTCCCATCATCCTCAGGGGGCTAACCTCATAACCCTGCCTTGCGGCCCCACCGTCTATCCTCCCGTCTTACTGAGCTTAGAGGACCAGTACGGCCTTGAAGAAGAAGAAGAAGAAGAAGAAGAAGGAACGAGAAGAAGAGAAGAAGAAGGAGAAGAACAAGAAAAAGAAGAACAAGAAGACGAAGAAGCAACGAGAAGAAGAGAAGAAGAAGAAGAAGGAGAAGAACAAGAAAAAGAAGAACAAGAAAAAGAAGAACAAGAAGACGAAGAAGCAACGAGAAGAAGAAGAAGAAGAAGAAGAAGAAGAAGAGAAGAAGACGAAGGAACGAGAAGAAGACAAGAAGAAGAAGAAGAAGAAGAAGAAGAAGAAGAAGACGAAGAGGGAACGAGAAGAAGAGAAGAAGACGAAGGAATGAGAAGAATGCAGGGAGGAAGAAGAAGAAGAAAAGAAAAAAGAAGAAGAAGAAGAAGAAGACGAAGAGGGAACGAGAAGAAGAGAAGAAGAAGTATGAA